TTCCGGGTACCGGCGAGTTACTGACCATGGACTCTGCGCTCGTTTCTCTACCTGACTTGTCGACGTTGATATCCCCAGGTCTACCCCATGTGTCACYGCCCAAGCSACAACAGCCTGTTGTCATGGAGCGTGGATCGGACGGGTTTGACGTGGCAGGAGGCGATATCGCCGATATGATTACGAGCCCAATGGTGTCTGCMAYGCCCACAATTTTTCGTGTTGGCAAACTACGCAAGGTGGCCCTTGGTTTGGCGGAGACGGCGACGCGACACCGCCGCGACGGTCAGCGCAGCATCGCACAACGCAGTCTTTCTCATTCGTTTGACGACGCAGAGGAAGGGTCTCCTGGTGGGCCAGTTGACACACTCGAAAGAGAAGCAAGACCCCCAAGTCCGCCGTCAAACTAAGTGCATCATCCGATTGTCGCGGCTGTCAGCGCAGATGCGGGCGTCCCTGTCACAAACAGTGGCGCAGACGCGACAGAACAGCTTGTGGTTGGGTCATCGGYGACAGCACGGCGCGACAGAGCTTTTTCTTTCCTATTTTTTTTTTCCCGCGGTATTCGCCCTTTATTCTGGTTCTTTATGACATTTGGAGTCGCTCCCGCTGGAGCACTCACTTTTTTCTTTCTCTTCTTTTTTTCCTGGCATACGCAAGTAGTGGATGATTTACACGGGAAACTTTCACTACTTAATCAATTCTAGACAAAGTGATTAGTCAAACGAGTAATCGAGTAGCCCCATGGGAGCACTCAATCATCATTCAAAATTCATGCAGTCCTCATGCAATCAAGCATTTCAAACACTGTTACGTAAGCGACCGGATAATTCTCATGGGAGTACCCCTTTATTAGTTACTATAAGTCGTTTATAAGGCCTTGTTGAGGCACTTCCAATACTTGTTCCAACATTCACCAACAATTGAGACCACCTTTTTATCAAAAATCAGTACATAATACAAGTTAGCAATAGGTGGTCTTCATGAAAGTCCCCTATTACTCTTTGATCAGAGCTCTATCTATTCTTAAGAGCGCAATAGGATGACCCCACGGGAGCTACCTTACTACTCTCTCAGAGTTAGACGAGTTAGGATTGAGTTAGTAGACACAGGCAAACACCAGACCATCATTTTGCTGAAGTATTCTACTAGGCTTGTTAAGATAGAGCTAAACAATCAATAGGACGACCCTACGGGAGTCTTCCTATTTCCTTCCTTGGGTAGTAAATAGTTTATCTTTAGAGTATGGCCCTGGGGCGATCCACACGGAAGTTCACCTATTGCCCACTCGATGAACAGATAAACCAGGTGTAAGTAGGTTGTCACAAAATGAATAGTAAGGTGATTTTTTTCCTCTCTCGTGTTAATAGCCAGCTCTGGTCTGAGTTTGTAATAGGATGACCCCACGAGAGTTATCCTACTACTACCCGAATGACTGCGAACACCACTCTATTGATCAATCGATAGGACGAACGACCCCAAGGGAGTCTCTCATAACCTGATTCAATGTTAAACAGATAGATCGTTAGTAATTACTCATGCCATTCATCAGTCATGCCCAAACAAGTAGTAGGGTTACTCACCCAAGAGTATCCCTCCATTGTCCAAACACAATCACCTCATTCCTTCCCTCGTTAGTTTGACCCCTAAATCAAACAAGTATTAGGATGACCCCATGGGAGTTATCCTACTACCAGTCTGATGTGTAGGAGATCAGTCAAAACAACTCTTAGTTAAGTTATTCTAATCGTTCACTTACCTTGCCTATGCATTGTGAAAGAGCAAGAGGTATGTCGACCCCACGGGGGCCCTCACCACTCTTGGCACGTGACTTTCGCCATGCATAATTTAGTCAGTGGTGATAATATTTTGTATGGAACTATCTCCTCACCCATTTTTCAATACCAAGCAGACCATTCAACCGGAGATAAGGTAGTTCCGACGAAAACCCCCCTTTTCCCTCCTTTCAATCGGACGGATTACCCTAGACTTAGGAGTTCATGTACGCACACAATGAGTACTTAATTCCCTTCCATGTCTAGTCCGATAGGTGCTAGGAGAGCCTCACAAGACCCTCCTACTACCTTTGCTTAAGTTAGCCATCCTACCTTAGAAACCCTGTATCCCATGGGAGTACCGGATTACCTCTTAAATCAAGTACATAAGGTATCAAGGAAATCGCACGGCAACTTTCCATCACCAATGTTGGAGTCAAACAGACATTTCATCAGTTCGTTGCTTAGTCGGTGGATGACGGGGTAATTTGCATGGGAGTACCCCATCATACACTTTAATCAGTCCATGCAAGTTGTGTGACGACTCCACGGGAGCCTCCACCACACAGCTTTGTCTCGCATACCCAATCAGACTAGGTTCTTTCTCGGTTCTCCTAGATTCCTTTCTTACTTCAGACAAGGTTCCTATTTCATCCATACGTTCATTCACCCTTTCTGAAAGTCTTACTCTTGAAGAAAACAAGAAAAACGTATAGCACACATTCATTCATGCAGTCTGATAGAGAGTTGTAACTAGTAAGGGATAAGGGAAAGAAGCGAGTCATGCGTACCTTATGGTTCCCTGCCTCCAGAGTTCCTCCTGAACTTCGGCAGAGCTCTCGCAATCACCCTAAATTCGGTCAAGTATGATCTATGCAATTGATTGTCTGGATTTTTTTAAGTTAGAAAAAAACAAAGTTATCCTCAACGAATGTACATCATCAGATACTTCTAGTCGAGAAGTCAGGTGCCTCAAGGATAAGAATGGAGGAGGATGGAGGAGGTAGGCACCATCACACGATGACAATGTCTCTCTCCTGGCCTGTGATGTTCAATAATTAGCAATAAAAAAAATAAATAACAATAATAATAATAATAATAATCATGACAATAATAATAATAAAATAATAAAAATAATAATAGTAACAATAAATGACAACAACAATAGTAATAACCGTAAATGGGGTAGTATCCCACAACTTTCTTCTTCTTCCCTTCTTCTTCTTTTTCCTTTTTTCCTTTCTTTCTTCACCTTCCTTCTCCACTCTTCCTACTCTTCCTTTCTTCCCTGGGATCCCCTTCGTTTTAGTCCACATCCACCCTTTTACTTCCGTTCCATGGTCCTGATCTCGGCAACCCGTTCGTTGTTCCGTATACATGTCTCAAGGGTCATGTGTGTGTGAATGATGCCCTGAGGGCACATGTTTGTTGCCGCGTGATCAACTTACAAGTTGTGTGGGTGCATACTCTCTGTTTGGCATGCCTGGCCATAGCCTGTCGACGCCCCGTTGTCCAGTTGTGACCCACGCCCCCCCTTAATGCCCGCGCGCGAACGCGTTGATAATGTTGCGTTCTCAGCAGTCGCGGCCCCTACTTACTATGTCGGCCTCACGCTGCGCGCACGCTGCGCGTGCTCAGGGTGCCACATTCAATGCACTGGGCTCGTGCTACCTGGCGCAACTGCTTCTTTCGGACGAGCCCTCGATGCAAGACCCTGGTTGTATTTCAACCAACCAGCGTGGAACACAGTTTGAGACCCTCTTTAGATAGTGCTGAAATGAAAGGCCTCTCGTGGATATTCTAACCTGTCGTCACTTCGGGGGGCACGAGGCTGGTCGGGGTCACAAGATACTGAAATAACAACGACAACAACAACAACAACAATAATAATAATAATAATAATAATAATAATAATAATAATAATAATGATATAATAAGAAGAAGAAGAATAAAATAACACTATAAGAAAAATAGTCAACTAGTGGAAAGACAGATTGCTGATCACATGAAAAGCCATAAATTCCTACCTTGTCCAGAAAGCATAATCGCACCGATCTGTTTCCAATAAGGAACAAAAATACTGAGCATACTCTTGCCTTCACTTCATAAATACTCTGAGTCTCACTCCTACTCGATGTTTGCCGCCCAGAGTAGTATCATACAACTACTACAAGCTTACAAATTGACAATGCGGTTGCTGGGATCAGCAGCAGAGCCGAAGTACATGGAGATGTCGACCCTTGTAGGTTACCGCCAAGATCAGGTTCGCGCCCTCGCTTTTACCGTCCTCACTTTCCTCTCTTTCCCTCTCTGTTTGTGCGTTTGTTTGTTTGTGTTTTCCTGTCCGTTTGCCTATTTGTATCTGTTTTGTATTTGTACCTTCTCTCTCCCTCTCTTTCTTTGATTGTGATATAATTGAAACGATTTTTACCTTTACGGCACACGTGGTTAAACATGGGTGTTATTTTCGACGAATTTTGCACCGAATTGCACTCAAAGTGTCATATTGTGCTGATTTTTTGCTTTTTTTCTTGTTTTTATTTTTATGTGCTATATATGTGCTTAGGGTACGTCATGTGTGCAGTTTTGACATGTTTGGATCAATAATGAAAAAAATGGCATTTTGTTAAATTCGTTGGCCGCTTTATTTTGACTCGGACAGTATCTTTGTGTTAGGGTTTCATAGTGTTTTTTTGTTTTTGTTTTGGTTTTTTTTTTCCTGTTTCCTTTTTTGATGTTTGCACTATGGTCTCATGTCGTTTGTTAAAATTTTTGATGAAATTCGCACCGCAATTGCAAACGAAAACAGCGAATATTTGGGCCCCCGTTAACCGTCTCTCATATGAACTTGAGTTGTAGGTCTGTAGATCAGAGGTCTAAGTTATGGTAGAAGTCATCGTCGTTACAACACCGAAGGGTCAGGTATACAGTATTCCGGGGGATCCGGAACTGGTTCTTCGTGAGTCCCAGGATGCAGTCCATAGGCAGGTGGTCAAGTGGGCAGTCCAACTCATTCCAGTCAGCGGTACACAGTCCCGGTCGCCCCTTCGTCAAGTCCGTAAGTACCACGCGAGACTGTTCATCCTGGTTCCTTCTCCTTCATCTTCTTCTTCTCCTTCTTCTTCCTCCGCTCGCACTTCTTCATGAGTCACACCTGTCTATGTAGTTTCTGTCTATCTGCCTGGTTCGTCTGTTTGTTTGTCTGTCGCAGCCTGTCCGGTTGCCGGTGTCTGGTTGTCTGTTCAGTTTGTCTGATTGTCTGTGTCTATTTGGTTGAATGTCTGTGTCTATTTGGTTGAATGTCTGTGTCTATTTGGTTGAATGTCTGTCTCGGTCTGTCTGTCTCTCTGTGTGTCCGACTGTGTATTCCGACTATGTCTCCGATTGTATGTCTGACTGTCTGACTGTCTGCGTCTGTTTGGTTGTCGGTGTCTGATAATCCGTCTGTCTATTTGTGGTTGACTGTCTGTTAGTTTGTCGACTTTTGTCTTCCTATTTGTTTATCTGTGTCCGGTTATCTGTTTGTTTGTCGTCATCCGACTATCATTCTATCTGCCTGTGTTAGTCGGGAGTTGTCCCTTCTTTTCTCTCCCTCTCTCTTTCTCCTTCTATCCCTACTGGGGAATCCAAACTCTGAATACGTTTGCTGCTGCCCAGCTTTACCCCTACTATTAACTTGTGCGGCTATGGCCGCCTTCCTTCTCAGCACATCGTTGCCCAATATGGCTTTCACGCATGCTACTCGCGGAAAGCGCTCAAGTGCTTCAGCAGCATTTCCACACGTCTCACGAATGAGCACCCCGTCTGAAATGCGATCTGCCAGTCCTTATACTGACTTGGACTGAGCCTCAACTCGTCCCAGACTGTGCTTCCTTTGCGGCCTGCTTGCTTCAAACTTTATCAAGGTCGGACCTTCACTATAGTGTTGCTGCTTGAATCT